CCTTCTTCTGAGGCAAAACCAGAGACTCCATATGTCTGTTGAGACTTTTCTTTCTGAAGTCTGCAGCTTTGAAAACTCCCCTGGAGCCTGGAGGCTGGGATAAAGCTGCAAGTCCTTGAGTGCTGTCTTGTGTTGCTAAGAACAGGAAAGGCATCTCCAAATTCTGGATGGTGTCTTGAAAGTCAAATGTGCAACTTGGTGCCTGAGCAGCTGCCTGTTCAGCCTGATACTGCAAAAGAACATTATGAACTGTCCGCCACAGCTTTCCCAATTTTTTAGCAGTTTTATCACCATCTAAAGTAGTTTCCCACAATTTTTCTCCAAACTTTCACCACTCACTTAATTCATGGACTGTATGGGGATTCTGAAAACAACCCTGAGCATACCCATAAGCAAGAAGTTCAGGAAGCTCCTTGTGCAAATCAAAGTTTTTAACCTGTTGCTTTTCTAAAAAGCAGGTAAATAAATCATATGCTACTTGCCTTTCCATCTTACCATCAGCACTGTTGCAGCCCTACAAGGTTTCGGCAGCACGTTACGGCAGGACTCTCCTCTAAGGTCGCCTGGGCGCGGCAACCCTACTGTGTGATCAGAACCCTCCTCCGAGGTTGCCTGGAATGCAGCACAGCTGTTGCTTTTCGCCGTCCTTGTTACGGAGGACCCGTCCCCTGTCACCACTCACTTGGCCGACTCCGACTCCTTTTTAAAGTCCCAAAGATTCCAAAGGTTCCAAGGGTCGCTCAGGTCCCTGTTGTTCGGGCGCCGTTTGAAGAGTTTGGCGGGAGAAAATGCAGCACTCAATACGAATGATCAGCAAATCTCATTTATTGGTAACTCTAAAACCACTTATTCGCTCAGCTATGCTGAATTCACATTCTTCTGATCACAGCATCCTGTTCTCAGTTAACAGTTATCACCAAGGCCTTCCTGACTTTTGCAACATCTCACACCAACTGTATTCCATTGTCTAACTCTTTCCCAGCTAACTGCTGCATGGGAATATGACCTTTGCTCTCTAGCCATTCCTCTACAGCCTGGTATTCCAAGATGACCTGTTGGTGGACCATGCTCTCTTGGTCCACCAAAATTATTTGCCCCCCACATGAGGAATTTATTGAATGCCAGTCAAAGTCATCATCAAAGATCACATCGATCCATTTGAATTTTGATGAGACTTGTAATGCCAATGTGCAATTACCATCATTGGTGACTGTCATTGCAACATCTTTCCATTTACCAGAGGGAATGGCTGCCAGGAATGTGAAAAATAAAGCTCATCTTGCCTGTTGGGGAGACAAACAGTTGCATTTGACTAAGAAAGTGTTAGTTACACTGCCAAACATTCCCCTCCCTGCAGCTAAGAGGATTAGACCCTGGAGTGGGTGACAATTTCATTTTTTGCTTTGTTTATTTGTCTATTGGTTTGATTGTAAAAAGGACTCTGTGTAATTTCTCCTTCTGCAGCCATTAAAGGTGTTTTGGCTCAACACTTCCTGCCCACTTGCAGCACTGGAAGAGACTCTGTCAGAATTTGATTTTGGAAAATAGCAGTTCTGGAAAATGCAGTATTTTTGCAGGAGAATACATAGTTTGGGGTGGGGATGTTGGGGTAGAAGGAGCTGTTCTGGTGCCAGGCCAGACAGCAGGGTTTCACATCACTTTCAGGTGGACAGTGCCCATGCCTTTTGGCAGCCCATGGTTGATCAATAGGTGTTGTGTTTGGGAATTGAGCAGGAAATCAATGGCCTTGCATTCCAGCTGGTGCTGAGAGATCAGAGAGGCTGGGAGGGGCTGGGCTTCATTTCTGATTGCAGCCACTTCAGCACCATCAGTGTGCTTGAGTCCAAGAGAAGAACTTGTCTGAGCACAGATGCACAAAGACTGCAGTTCCCAGAGCAGTGCTCTGGGTCTGACAGCAAAGCACCAACACAATCCAGATTCCCCAAGAGTGTGATTTATTGAAGCAACAGGAGAGCAAGTTCAGCACTTCTGCAGAGGGGGGCACTGGCTACCAAGTGTTGATGTGTGTAGGAATAGAAAATATAGTAAGAGAGTTTATAATAGTGAGATCTAGCTGCCTATCTATCTATCTATCATCTATTTGATAGATATCAAATATTCTATTTGAATTTTCCCATCTCTGCTCCAAAGCAGTTGGTAGTATAAAGGTCATCTAAAGGCATCCCTTTGAGGAGAGGAGGAGAGACAGGTTCCATTGACTGTTCTGGAGTAGGCAGAGATGATTCCCTCTGCAGGGAGGGTTGTTTTTTTCCCTCAGAGCTCTTTTCTTCCTCCACTCTCTTCTGCTGTGAAACCTTCTTTTTATGCAACAAATTGCTGCATGTCCTAAGGGAGTGGAACAATCTCAAGCTCTAGGTGGAGTTTGGAGACTTTGGTCATACATGGATTACATGACACATGGTTTCCTTCATTGGCATCCCTCGGGGTGTGTCAATTCATTTGTTGATGGGGCCTTTGGAGGATCTCTTAGTGCCGCTCAGAATTCTCAGCTGACAAAAGAGGGAGGATAAACACCTTGGTCCTCTTCCATATACTCAGGTGGCCATAGGGGCTCTCTGACCTCCCTCAGAGGATCAAATTGCACACATCCTTATCTCCTGAACGAGCAGGATTTCTAACAAGAGTGTAGATGTCAGAAAGGCAGGAATGGTGGTGCAGGCCTGAAGAGAACATGAACTCCACAAGTGTCTCTCACAAGGGATGAAATCACACAGGAAGCCACCTGCAGAGCCAGGATGGAGCTGTGGGACAGGGCTGAGTGTGAGTTGACTATGGAAAGACAAAGAGGACAGAGCAGAAGGGGAGGGAGGCCCTCAGCAGACCCTTGAGAAATGGCACACATTTCCTGTCAGCTGCCCAAGAGTCTGTTGGGGATTCAGACCCAGCTGGACCCTGATTGTACTGCCAGTGTCACTTTGGAATCTGTGTCTCCCCATGGGCAGAGAACAAGACCAGGAGAGCAGCAGCACAGTGCTTTGGGAACGTGTGAGCCCATCAGTATTTGAGTCTTGGCCCACAAATGTTGTGTGGGGTTTTGAAGGCCATGTTCTCTTGCTTTCTGTGCAGGTTGTTCTGGAGAAAGAGCAGGAGCAGACTGATTTGTCAGAGATGCCATGCCAGACTGAGGGAGAGCTGTTTCCAGCCCGAGAGCAGGAAGAGCAGCTTGGGCAGCATGTGGAAGAGCCACTGGAGAATGGCCAGGTAAGCCTGACTCAGCAGGTGACAGAGTGCAGGGCAGGAAGAGGGGCATAAAACACAGCTCTTGGGACTGAAGAGGCCAGGAGTCCTAGAAGCACTGAAAGCACAGAGCCTTGTAATCTGCAGAGATCAGCACTGGGACAGGAGGGTTACAGTGGAAGCAGAGGTGGTTAAGTAGGCAGAAAGAAGTGACTGAATGAGTGTGATTTTGAGGCTGAAAGAGTTAAAAGCTGAGCCTGATGGCAGCTCCCAGTCACTTGTTCTCCATTTGTGTATACAGAACATCAAGGCAGAGCCACAAGCAGAGCTGCCTGAAGCTCAGAGTGCCACCGCGGCAGTGAAGAGAAGGCACCAGGAAGGCATGAGGAACATTCAAGAGGAGATGACACTCTATCGGCGAAGAGATCAACAAAACAAGGTGAGTGATAGAGTGGCAGCCACTCCACTCATCAAGCTCTCTCATGTGTTTTAGAGGTCAGCAAGGAAAATCTCCAGGCAGAGATGCAGGATACTAGGGCTAGGATCAGCGAAAAGGAGAAGAGGCTGGAGGAAGAAATGGTGGAAGAGGAAATCAATCACCTGATTCAGGAGAAGAATTTTCTACATAAAAAAGTGAGTGAAACAGCGATAGCCACTGCAGTCACTGCAGTCTGGTGGTTTGTGCCCTTCTTGCTTTTCCTCTGCAGAGCAGCAGGGAGCTGGGGTGATGCCTCTCAGTGCCATCCTGCTGTAGTGTCTATCCCAGCTGCTTTGAAGGAAACTTGCTGGTGTGCTGAATCCCAGCTACTGCTCTGGACAGTGGCACAAGTCGCTTTCCCCTTTTGCCAGCACTCATCTGAGTGCATTCTTGCTGGCCTCTTCCTGCTCTCCTTGTTTCTTCAGGTGTTTTTGCAAGTGAACACAGTCACCCAGATAGATGTTGAACACAAGCCACAAGCTGTCTGTATCCCTTGTTGAATCTGCTCCTCTCCAGCTCTCTCCCTTTCCTTCTAGTCAATGAGCCTTGGCAGAAAGGGACAAAGCTGTAGTCTCTGACTGCTTTGTTCTGTTTGACTTGAGGTTGGAGTGTTGACATCTCACCTGGCAGCCTGGGAAGGCTTCCAGCAAATGACTGGTGATGAAGAGCCCCAAGGTCGACATGAGGCACAGCAACTGTCCCAAGCAAAGATGCTGAAGGTTGGGAATGTGTCAAAGATGGAGGAAAAGTGGACTCATTGTGAGGAGGTACAACATTTGGACAAGGATCTGCAAATGTGTCTGCAGTCTTTGGAGGGGGAAAGGGATCCTTGGGAGGAAATGGAATGGTCATTGTTGCAGTCATCCTTCAGAAAATCCACGAAAATGGAATATGAAGGTGTCTATGAACTCACATAAAACAACCTCTGGTTTTGACCTTTTGGTTTCAGAAGCAGTTGTCCAAAATAATCTAGTATATGAGCTTGGCATGTGGCTAAGAGCAACTTCTTACGGGCTTGAATTTGAAAAGGGTACTCGGGGTAATCTCTGCCATTCACTTTTCTGACACCAACTCATTTCTACTCTTAGAGCTACCAAGGAGCCTTGGTTCCCCTCCCTGAGAAGTGGAGCCTGTGCAATTTCTTCATCTCCAGCACTGACACAGATGCTGCTCAGCCACAGGAGGATTTCCCGGAGCTACTGAGTACATCTAATTTATTTCTTGTCTGAGGGACAGTGAATTGTGTGCACATGCCAGCATAGCTGTACCAAATGTTCCTCCTCAGTTTGGTGTCACAGGGACATTTAGGTCTCTCCACAGGAAGTGCTCTGCTTCGAGGCAGGGAGAGAGCACTCTGCATGTTCCTGCTGTCCCTGAGGGCAGCCTGGACTGGTTAAAGTTTACCTGGGCTTCCCTTTTACTGAAGAAAGAAGCAGGAATTGTTGCTGGACCAGTTGCTTGAGTTCCACCCATTGGCCCAACCCCTGCTCAGATCAGTCTCTAGGAAAACACATCAAGCCCTCTGTGATTCTGCAGCACAACCCATTTAATCTGCTTCTCGCCCATAAGAGCTGCCAGTGTTGTGCCCTCCCATAAAGACCTGGTGGGGCTGAGAAAAGATCCCATTTCATTCTGTGTGTACCTTCACCTGTTGAGACAAAAAAGGGCATTGATCCACACCTCGGTGTATCTGATGCCAAAGCCAATCCCGTTGTGTCCTGAATGGGGACAGCAGCTTGTCAGGGGCTCAGGCTGGCTGTGGCTTGTGGCCATGGCTTGTCAGTGCTCATGCTTGGCCTTTGGCAGCCTTGCTGTGTGCCCTGGCCCTGAGGGCTGCTGTGACTGCAGGGGCTGGAGCCTTCCTTAGCTGGGAGAGTGGCGCTGCCGCCCAGCTGGCCGCTGCAGAGCCGAGCTGGCCCGAGGCAGCAGCCCCTCGTCTGGGCCGGCTTCTGCACGGCATGGCCTGGACTCCCGAGAGGGACAGCATCTCCTCTGGGCAGCTGTGCGTGTCACAGCGGCGCCTGAGCAGCACTGCTGTCCTCGCTGCCCTTGCCCGCTGTGCCCACTTGGGAAGGTGGGGGGGACGTGTGCGGTGCTGAGAGGCCGAGTCCAATGGCAGCCACTGATCCGCGCTGTCAGGGTGAAGGGAAGCACTGGGGTTCTTCCCATGGGCCACGGGCAAGGGCGTCTTGGAGCTCAGCCTGCTCATACAGGGTGAGGGTCCTGATGCTGAAAGCCCCCTTGGAATGGGTTACAGCATCAGCTGCTCTGCTTTACAGATGGAAAGCCATTCATTCTTTTGGCAAATGGCTGCAAGTTGGAGAAGATGCCCTCCTCTCCTGGGAATGCATCTCCCTGGGCTTTATTTCCTGACAAGAGAAGTCTTCAAAGGACTGGACAAAACCAGTCTCTCTGCTGGCCATTTGGACTGCAGAACTGCCTGGCTTGTTGCTCTTGCTCTTGTTGTTGTTGTGGTTGCTGCCCAGCTGACCACAAAGGGTTCAGAGCCCCAGACAGTGGGGCTTTCATATCTCCTGGAAATTGGAATTTCTGCTTGAAAGTGAGAATCTTGCATTTTGTTTCCCTCAGGGAGAATGGTGAACGTGGAAAATCCCATACGAAAATACATTGAACTGGAAAATCTCGGCAGCGGGTGAGTCCACAGATACTTCTACACAGCCTTGGGCCAGGTGTTTCGCTGGTGGAATATCCATCAAGTGGGAAGTCAGACAAGCTGCAAACATGTTTACACACCAGGGTTAGTCTGCCCCATCTCTCAGTACTGGCCAGAATTTGTAAGTGTGCTCAGAGGGCATTGCCAAAGACCTCCCCATGCTGCCAACCAAGGTCTTGCCTGCAGCAAGGAACAGAACCTGGTAGATCTCCTTGTCTCTCAAGTGTGGGACAGCTCTGTGGTAATTTCCTTAGCATTTGTGTATGTCTCAAGATCATAGAATTTTGCCACACAAATGACAGGAGAAGAACCTTGCTTACCTGAAAGAGCAACCTGCCCCCTTATGATAGCTGTCAGATGACACTTCTCAGGGACCTTTTTTTCCAAGAGTTTGCTAAAGGAAATACTCCATGCTCAGGATTAGAACTGCCCAGTTTAGAAACTGATAGCCGAGATGAAGGAATAAGCTGTCTTTTTGAGCTGAGGCAGGAAAGCCCAGCACTTCAGGAACAGGCCCAGTGCCCATGCACTGGAGGGGAAAATGTATCATCTGCCTTCTGGCAGACCCCTCCTGCAACCTGCAGCTTTTAGGTATTTACAGCAGAGATCTCCTGTCTGGAGTGGCTTTCACTGCAAGATCTAAATGGCTTCTCCTTTCTTTGCTGCTGTTTTGTTTCTAGGGCTTTTGGAGAGGTTTCTAGAGCACTTGACATTGCCACAGGAGGAGAGGTAAATGTCAACAGCCCCTGCAGACTCTGCTGCTCTCAAGGCCTTTCCCTACGGGTGACATCTGTGCCTGGAGCTTTGGGTAGAGCTGTGCAGCAAAGGCACAGGAAGCACAGACTGGTGCCAGCCTGCAAATTGCACTTGGGACAGTCTTTGTCCTTCTCAGCTGCCAGTAGGAAGGCAAGGAGGGCAGCGGTTCCTTGCAGAGAAGGACGTGCCTACTTGCTCTCAATTGCTAAAACCAAGGTTTAGCATCTCACTTAGAGCATCTCTCTGCTCTTTGCTACAGCTTTAAAGTCTTGAATCCTCATTTCTGGCTGACCAGCAAATACATCTGAATGTTACTGGTAGCTCATTAGCCACTTGGGAGCTGTACGTAGGGAGAGATCTGCAAGGTGTCCCTAAAAGCCCAAAGGCCTGCCTGTATCCACAGAGTACCAAGGCACAGATTACTTCTTTGGAAGTGCAGGCAGAGCAGCAGAGAGTGTGGTCAGAAGTTTGTGGGTGAGAGTTGATACACCTTTGTTACCAAGTGGACAAGACAAAGTGTCGGTGGTCAGGTGTCATGTAACTGTTCCCAAGGGAGCAGAGCAATGGGCTATTGGATTGTCACTTCCTAATTACTCCAATGTCTAATCACAAGGTGCTTTGGCACAGCTTGACTGTGCCATTCCAGAATCACTCACTCCATGTGAGAAGCTCCATGCCAACTTCCAAAGTTACAAATTTTCAATATCATTTTAGGTGGCCATAAAGAAAATCAATGTTCAAGGACGGATCAGGAAGGAAGCAATTGCTTATGAACTCATGGTCATGAAAATGAATAGGAACCCCAACATTGTGACCTATTTAGAGAGGTGAGGGATTCTTGTTTTATCCCACCAATATTTATTTACATACTTCATGCATGCAAAGTTAAAAACCCACTTTGGATACTGGCAGGAAAAAAGAACTCTTAATTACTGGTTAATTATGATTTCTCACCTTATCTCCAGTGGATGGAAGAGATTTTTGCATTTTGTCTGCATTATTCTACCCTGGCAAATGCAGTTTGAAAATTGTCCAAAAATCTGGACCAGCCCTATCTTAAGAACAAAACACTCTGTAAATTCATTTCCTCCACATTGGATTGGGGCTTAACTTTTTCAAGTTTTTAGGAGCACCTTTGAAGTGCTGATAAACCACCCTAGAGAGAGGATTTCCCTTGCATTGCTGCCCTTTTTCCATTGCTGTGTATGCCAGGAAGACTCGGTGCTTATTAAAAGAGATACCATGTGTGACAGCTTTTTTATCTGGGCTGTTACTAAACTGCATTTTTCACTTGCTGGCCATTTAAGACATCTCCTTTTTTGTACATGTGCCATTCTCCTTGAGACTGCACAGACTGCAAACCCTGCACAGCCTAGAGGCAATGTCTATTCCTTTTATTCTGTCCTTGTAACAAAGGCACCCAGAAACAGGAATCAACTGTTGTCTTTTGCAAACAGCAACGTAGCCATGCATGTTCATCTCCACACCCTTGTTTCCTTCTTTCAGTTACTTTCTGGGGAAGCACCTTTGGCTGGTGATGGAGTACATGGACGGAGGCACTCTGAGAGATATCATCAATGAGACTCAAATGTCTGAAGGAGAGATTGCAGTCGTCAGCCGTGAGGTCAAGGATCCCACCTGTGCTTCCAAGGACTTGAGCAAGATTGTCTGGGAAACTGAGGCTCAGAATGGGAGTGATTTCATGGGCCAAGCTTGGTTTCTGTGTTGCTGGTATGCTATGGGCAAGCAAGAGCCTTTCAAGTGAACTGCCTGCCAGTGTCCCTGCACTCACTCTACTTACTCTTTGTACTCTTATCTCCTGCTGTTGTATTTTAGTTCTGTTGCTTCTATTTGGATTTGCTGTTCTCCACCTTGCCTCTCTAAATGCTTACTTTGTGCTTATCTGCACTGCATTCCTTGCCTGTAAAAGCAAAGGTGCTGGTTGGCAGAATTTGAAATGAACAGCAGAGAAGAAAAAGAGACTCATTTCTTTTAGGTCTCAGCTGAAAAGGATAGTAGTGCAGCCCAAATGCTGTTTGCTTCTGAGCACACCCACTGCAGCTGCAGTCACTCTGCCTGGTTTGCAGGGGACAGTCTACAACAGCAGTTGCTGCTGCTGCTGTTTCAAAAGCTGCCATGCCTTTCTTGACAAAGGTCCTGCTCTGCTGCTGTTGCAGCAGCAGGCTCTTCCTCTCAGTGGCACTGTGTTCTGCCATTACTCCCCATTCCCCTGCAAAGGGAATTTTTACAGCTGTTTCCTTGCTTGTGTGATGAAATCACATCACTCATTTTGCCCCCTGTTTCTGCTTTCTCTCTCAGTGCCTGCAAGGACTGGATTTTCTTCACTCCAACCATGTGATCCATCGAGATGTGAAGAGCTGCAACATCCTTCTCAGAATGGACGGCTCTGTCAAGCTGGGTCAGTGTATTCATTCTTGGTGAGGTTCAGCCTCCCAGGGATGTGGGGTGTGGGGCTGCTTTCAGTGACTGCCAGCTCCCCAAAAATGGTGCTGCTGGCAGTGCAGGGGCCCCTGCTGTGAGCTGAAGGCACGGTTGTGATGTGCACAGAGGTATGACAAGGTAGCACAAGCAGTCAAGAGTGGCATTGCTGTGTCCCATCTAAAGGGAAGGAGCTACAATCTAAAGCTTCAGAAAAAGAAAGGCCATTGCTGGAGGAAGTGTAAAAAAGGTGGGGATTTTTTGAAGCAGCCAATGCCATATTTCCTTGGCTAAAGCCCTGAGGAAATTGAGCAGAAATGGATTTCCAGCAGATGACAAAGTACATTCTGAAACTGGGAGTGGGCAATTCTTTTGCTTCGTTTCCTAATTGAAGCTGCCTTTCACGGTGTGTTGTTTTTTCCACAGCTGACTTTGGCCTTCCTGCTCAACTCACCCCTGAGCACAGGAGATAGAGCTCCGTGGCCAGCACTTCTGGGTGGATGGCGCCTGAAGTCGTGACAGGTCACCCGTACGGCCCCAAAATGGACATATGGTCTTTTGGAATCGTGGGCATTGAAATGGTGGAACGAGAAGTTCCTTCTTGGAATGAAACTCCTGTCTCAGTAAGGTGCAAATACTCACTGATCCTGCTGACTTTCTCACCTGTCCCATGTTCTGTGTGCCACTGGATAAAATGCCATTGCCATCTGCTGGCACTATTTCCACCAAGGTCCCCTTCTAAAAATGTCCCTGCAGCACATCAGCATCTGCTGTAGATTTGGTTGCATCAGCAGGCAAGTGGCAGGTACCCAGTTCAGAAACGTGCCATTTTGGCCTGCAGCCCTGCTGGCCTCCGTGACATTTCTCTTTTGCTTTTTGAAAATTCTTGGAGCTTGTCTCTGAAAAAGAAGAATTTTTCAGTGGAGAGTTCAGCAGTGTGATAAATATGCTTTGAGATGGAGTTGGGACCTCCCCGGTTTCAATTTTCTAGAAAAAGAAAAAAGAAAAAGAAAAAAGAAAATAGAAAAGGGAAAGGAAAAGGAAGAGTAAAGGGACAAGGAAAAAAGGAAAAGGAATAGGGGGAAAAAAAGGAAAAGGGGGAGTAAGATGAAGAGGAAGTGGAAGGGGGAATGGAAAAGGGAAGGGGCATGGAAGGATGAAATGGACAAGAAAAAATAATATAGGAAAAGGAAAGAAAAAATAAAAATAAATATAAATATAAAAATAAAAATAAAAATAAAAATAAAAAAAAAATTAGATTCAGGAAAAGGAAAATATAAAAAGGAAAGGAAAATCATAGGAAGAAAACAGGAAAAGTAAACAGAAAATACAAAAATCAAAGTAGTTCTGTTTGCTTTTTCCTTTATTAAACAAAGCACATCCATTTTTGTTTAAATTCTAGCATCTTTTCCAAATCCTGTGGGACTTCAAAATTTTCAGGCTTTCAAGTCATCTGTACATTGTTCTGTCATGTGTCTGGGTGGCCTGGAAAAGTTCAGGATGTGTTTTTCTCCAGCTGCAGTTAGAATTGTGTGCCAAAGCCCCGGCTGTTTCTTGGTACTTGAACAGGAGGGTGAGCCTTCAGTCAGGTGCCTGGGGCTGGGATCCAAGGGGTGAGGTTGACGCCGCTGCTGTTCCTTTAGCACAGGAGCAAGGCCATCCCTGGGTTGCACAGCGCTAGTGACAGTGAGGGCTCCCCACCATGCCCACTAGCTGAGCTCAGCTGCAGAGGGGCAGGATAAAACCTCCTTTTTGACCTCTGCTGCTGTGGGAAAAGTGAAGGAAATTTTTCTCTTGCTTGAAGAGGATCAAAGTCTCCTTGGTCAGCATCTATTTCATTGCCACCAGCACGGGTGGGCGTTTTCATGCAGACTCCTAGGCCTCTCCCCACTGTCATTTCTGTCTGTTTTAAATGCTTTCTGCATCTGAATTTCTTTCAAGAATAGAACAAAAAACTTGATGATTTTTTTTTCATGGAAGCTCTGCTTAAGGGACCAACAAGCATGGCAGTGATCCCTTTTGTGTAATAATCCTTGGAAATAGTATAGCTAGAGCGAAATCCCCCTCCCAAATGGCCTGTCAAGTTATTCACACAAGCTGGTGTGAATCCTCAGAGAAGCAAAAGCTGCATTTGGTGATGGAGTTCTCATTGACCAGAGAACTAGTCAGTGAAAATCAGCTGCCAAGGCAAGATCTGCAGGATGTTGGAAAAGCTGGGGCTGCATCGGTGTTTAAGTTTTTTATTGGCATAGGAAAGTCATCTCTGCCTCTCTGCCAGGGCAAAAAATGCCACTGCAGAGTGGAGCTGGAACAATGGGCTCTGGGAGAGCAGGCTCAGCTTTTAACTCTTTCCGCCTCAAAATCACACTCATTTAGTCGCTTCTTTCTGCCTACTTAACCACCTCTGCTTCCACTGTAACCCTCCTGTCCCTGTGCTGATCTCTGCAGATTACAAGGCTCTGTGCTTTCAGTGCCCATGTGACTCCTGGCCTCTTCAGTCCCAAGAGCTGTGTTTTATGCCCCTCTTCCTGCCCTGCACTCTGTCACCTGCTGAGTCAGGCTTACCTGGCCATTCTCCAGTGCCTCTTCCACCTGCTGCCCAAGCTGCTCTTCCTGCTCTCGGGCTGGCAACAGCTCTCCCTCAGTCTGGCATGGCATCTCTGACAAATCAATCTGCTCCTGCTCTTTCTCCAGAACAACCTGCACAGAAAGCAAGAGAACATGGCTTTCAAAACCCCACACAACATTTGTGGGCCAAGACTCAAATACTGATGGGCTCACACGTTCCCAGAGCACTGTGCTGCTGCTCTCCTGGCTTTTTCTCTGCCCATGGGGAGACACAGATTCCAAAGTGACACTGGCAGTACAATCAGGGTCCAGCTGGGTCTGAATCCCCAACAGACTCTTGGGCAGCTGACAGGAAATGTGTGCCATTTCTCAAGGGACTTCTGAGGGCCTCCCTCCCCTTCTGCTCTGTCCTCTTTGTCTTTCCGTAGTCACTCACACTCAGCCCTGTCCCACAGCTCCATCCTGGCTCTGCAGGTGGCTTCCTGTGTGATTTCATCCCTTGTGAGAGACACTTGTGGAGTTCATGTTCTCCTCAGGCCTGCACAACCATTCCTGCCTTTCTGACATCTACACTCTTGTTAGAAATCCTGCTCGTTCAGGAGATAAGGATGTGTGCAATTTGATCCTCTGATGGAGGTCAGAGAGCCCCTATGGCCACCTGAGTATATGGAAGAGGACCAAGGTGTTTATCCTTCCTCTTTTGTCAGCTGAGAATTCTGAGCAGCACTAACAGAGATCCTCCAAAGGCCCCATCAGCAAATGAATTGACACACCCCGAGGGATGCCAATGAAGGAAACCATGTGTCATGTAATCCATGTATGACCAAAGTCTCCAAACTCTACCTAGAGCTTGAGATTGTTCCACTCCCTTAGGACATGCAGCAATTTGTTGCATAAAAAGAAGGTTTCACAGCAGAAGAGAGTGGAAAAGGAAAAGAGCTCTGAGGGAAAAAACAACCCTCCCTGCAGGGGGAATCATCTCTGCCTCCTCTGGATCAGTCAATGGAACCTGTCTCTCCTCCTCTCCTCAAAGGGATGCCTTTAGGTGACCTTTATACTACCAACTGCTTTGGAGCAGAGATGGGAAAATTCAAATGGAATATTTGATATCTATCAAATAGATGATAGATAGATAGATAGATAGATAGATAGATAGGCAGCTAGATCTCACTATTATAAAGTCTCTTACTATATTTTCTATCCCTACACACAACAACATTTGGTAGCCAGTGCCCCCATCAGCAGCAGTGCTGAACTTGCTCTCCTGTTGCTTCAATAAATCACACTCTTGGGGAATCTGGATTGTGTTGGTGCTTTGCTGTCAGACCCAGAGCACTTCTCTGGGAACTGTAGTCTTTGTGCATCTGTGCTCAGACAAGTTCTTCTCTTGGACTCAAGCACACTGATGGTGCTGAATTGGCTGCAATCAGAAATGAAGCCCAGCCCCTCCCAGCCTCTCTGATCTCTCAGCACCAGCTGGAATGCAAGGCCATTGATTTCCTGCTCAATTCCCAAACACAACACTTATTGATCAACCATGGGCTGCCAAAAGTCATGGGCACTGTTCACCTGAAAGTGATGTGCAAGCCCTGCTGTCTGGCCTGGCACCAGAACAGCTCCTTCTGCCCCAACATCCCCACCCCAAACTATGTGTTCTCCTGCAAAAATACTGCATTTTCCAGAACTGCCATCTTCCAAATTAAAATTCTAACAGAGTCTCTTCTAGTGCTGCAAGTGGGCAGGAAGGGATGAGCCAAAGCACCTTTAATGGCTGCAGAAGGAGAAATTACACAGAGTCCTTTTTACAATCAAACCAATAGACAAATAAACAAAGCAAAAGATGAAATTGTCACCCATTCCAGGGTCTAATCCTGTTGGCTGTAGGGAGGGGAATGTTTGGCAGGAAAGTGGCCCAAGTGGTGAGCACACTCATGTAGGAATTGATGGAAGTCTGCTTGAAGCAGACTTGAAGCATCACGGTGCTGCCCAACACAGGGGGACGCTCAGTGCCCTGCTCCTGCTGCCCCACTATTGCTGACACATGGCCAGCATGCCCCAGGCCTTCTTGGCCACCTGGGCTCACGCTGGCTCACGTTCAGCTGCTGTTGAGCGACACCCCTGGGTGCTTTGGGCCCAGGCAGCTGCTCAGGCACCAAGTTGCACATTTGACTTTCAAGACACCATCCAGATTTTGGAGATGCCTTTCTTGTTCTTAGCAACACAAGATAGCACTCAAGGACTTGCGGCTTTATCCCAGCCTCCAGGCTGCAGGGGAGTTTTCAAAGCTGCAGACTTCAGAAAGAAAAGTCTCAACAGACATATGGAGTCTCTGGTTTTGCCTCAGAAGGAGGATTCAGGACAGTGTAATTTGTGTCTTCTGGCACAAGAGAAGAGTGGCCCCACATGGATTCATGGACCACAAAATCATCTCTTTGCAGCTTATCAAAAGCCAGAAGAGACGTGGGCTCAGAGCATGTTTCAGCTCTGCTACTGACTGCTCTGCCTGAAGAGGCAAAACAACAACCCGGCAACAAAGGCACCAAAATCCTTGATTTCAGTCAGAAATTTCACATCCCCAGTGTGTCTCTGAAATACTCCTAGGTAAGCACACCCAAGGAGCTCATGGAGACAAACCAGCCCAAAGTGCTTGTGTGGTCACATCAACATCTTTTGTGCCTGCAGCTACTTGACCAGTCTGTAGGGCACAGGACTCTCCAGACCACAGTGTCCTCTCCAGAATGTGACATGGCCGAGCAGAGTGTCTTTGAAATGCTCCCTCCTCTGGGCACAGGGAGCCTTCATGCTTCAGGCTGGCCCCTCTCAGAATCCCAGCAATTGGGGGCCTAAACATGACAGATCAAAAGTCATTTTTCAGCTGCCATTGGCTGGGGTGACTTGCTAGGTGCTGGCACGACTCCAGCACTCAGCAGCCTCAGCTACCAACAGCAAGTGCTGGCTGCTCAGTAACTTGCAGCTCTGCCTTGTACTAAAGACAACACCAGC